CTGATTCTTTGTTTGAGTGTAGCTGGGTAAACCCTTGTGAACATGCTGGGTTAAGTTTTCAACATAACACGATCGCAGTTTTAGGCATTTATGAGAGAACTGGACTCCAGTGCTAATATTGTGGGATGTATTAATTAGAATATTTTGGTTATGGAAGTATATGTAGTCAGTTTACTTGAATGGCTTCTGAGTATCTGTCATATAAATGAAATTACTCACAATTCCAATCAATTAGTCAATTCCGATACATGACATTTAGGGTGAGGCTCTCATAGAAAAAGTAAAAATTTCTTAGAATTTCAATTTTTGCCTTTTTATGGACAATTCATTCTTACCTCATATCAAAACCATGAGACAATTAGACATGCATCTGATAGTGCATATCTGAGAACTAGATTATGGCAAAAGTCTGTTAAAATTGACCCCCTTTCAGTTCATCCAGTAACTAAACTGTTAAGAGGAAAGAGCACCATAGCATATTTTCTTCAACTCTTAGCAAATCTCTTTAACTGACATTATTTGCCATTCTACATCTCTTTGGAAATATCACATTTAGTATCCTTGGCCCCTCGATGGTTTTTGACATTTCTGATTAGTGCGGGTGAGTTAATTTGAGAATATCATCCAACTTGACATGTATGGGTCGGAATACATTTTGTGTGTTCTATATGGAGATGAACAAATACACATACAGGAAGCAATACTCTAGTTAAATTATACTTCTGTTAAATGTCTTTTTTTTAGATGAGTTTGAATACCTCATGGCTGTAAAAATATGTTAAAAATCGCCAAAAAGTGCTCAAAACATGGCGAAAAAGTTCTCAAATAGTGCTTGATTTCTATAAAAAAAAGTGCTTGAAAATTAGAAATTGTGCACGAAAGATGCTCGCGGTTAAGTTTTTTTTTTTTTTTTTCATTATTTCCTAGCAGAGGGTTAATACACATTCCTAGTTTTATCAATCTTTTAACTCTCGGATTTCCATAAAGTATAAAAGCGTTTGTCGAACAAAAACTCTTTATTATGAGTTGAACATATAGTTTCTAAAGCACACAGCAGCACTATAGTCGATTTATTGTATCGAAGCATTACAAAAGCTTCAATACGAGAGCGCTAAGAGTTTTGAGAAACACGAAGTCACGAACCAATCAAAATCGACTGTTCCCACGCTTAAAGGACCATAGCTCGTGCATTTCCATAACAACAGTCAGCCGGTCAGGCGACAAGGTTGAGTTATCTCTAATTAATGCTCATGATAATAGAATTACGCGGCCTAACCAAAAACGTTTCAAAGAAAAAATATTGCATTTAACATATGGAAAATTGTGAAAAATGTGCTGAAATGTTTCTCAAAAACTGAAAAACTCCTCAAATTCTGCTCATAAGTCAACTAAGTGCTCAAGAGTGCTGGAAATGTAAAATAGTGCTTCAAATTCGAAAAAATGCCGAAAACGCGCCAAAAAATTCCACTGATCGAAAGCTATGGTACGTTATAATCATAACAGATGCTTGTATCCTTACACTTATTGCTTCTTTAAATCGTGCAAGAAAATCCCTAACATTTGAACGACGTAACAAAGAATACAAATTGATTCATTTAACAACTCAGTTTGAGTAATATTTCATAAGTCTTTCCATTTCGCTTTCGACTCCCCTTCCGCTTTAGTAAATTTTGATTCTAGCAGATTGCTTTATACGTTGGAAGAAAAAAATACCTTCGAAATTCAGAGGTTACCCTCTTTAAAATTGAGCTTACACATACCAATAAGCTTGCTGAGTGAAAGAACTGAGAAGAAGTTGACAATATGTGTGTTTCTTAGGCGTCGTTTCTTTATGTGCGTTAAACGTAAGTAATCATAAATGTCACCTCTTCATTTCAAACTAGTTAGTTGAAGGCATTTTTCTTACCTTTGGCTTTAAGCTTCTCTCCTGGCTCTGCCACAGTTCTTACACAACGCTAGAAGTCGATTGAATCAACAGCTGTTGGAAGAAATTGAAGTGAGTTCAACAATAGTATTCTGCAGCCCACTCAAATAAAAGCGCTCGCTTTCGATTCTCTATGCATGAAATGCCTCAAATTGAAGGTTGTTCGCCAACTTGTCTTTCTTGCCCGTTTTTCTGTTCCTAAACTACATCTTCTCTATGATAACACGCGGGTTGGTCTATGCGAAATTTAAAAAAAGATGGTCAAAGATGCAAACAATATTTTTCTTGCCTCACAGCACTGAGAGAATCTACTACTTTGAATTGACAAGTGAAAGGACCGGCCAGACTAATAACCTCTCTAAGATCAGTACTCACAACAGTATGCCTTTCGATCGTTCATTTACTAAATGTAACAATTACAGCCTGCATGAAGAATAATCTGTGCAACTTGGACTTTCTAGGCACCCCTAATCCTCAATTCCCTTTTATGTTTTCGCAGTCTAGTCTCCATATTCCACATATCTGTTTGTTATACAAACGCTTGTTTAGGATATTCAATGGTTGTTATTGGAACAGCCGATTGTATCCTCACGTAAACTTTTATCAGTAGAGCAAAGAAGATAAATTGATTTCCAAAGTAACTCAGCTCGAGGAATAATATTTCCCACGTATTCATATTTTACTTTCGATTTCTGCTTTCATTTTCGAGATCAAATTTGATTCCATCATATCGCGTTATAGGGCCAAAAAACCCAAAATTTAGATGTTACCCGTAGTATTATCTAACCTACACACATCAGAAAGCTTCCTGAGTTAAAGAACTGGGAAGCTGTAATCACGATTTGACGATCTAGGTGCGTTTCTTTGGTTTCTTAGCGATTCTGCTCGAGGCATATGCAATTAAAAATGTCATATATGACATCAATATTTTTACATTGTTTGTTGAACGCTATGTTCTTACCTTTGGTTTTATGATCCTCTCCTGATTTAGACACAATCTGTTAGTTACACAACCCTTGAAATCGATTCCACACTGATTACCTGTTAAACGAAATTGATTTGAATTCAACTGACAACATTATTCACTCTTGAGAAACCGCTTGGTTTTGATTCTTCATCAAATGTCTCAAATAGAAGGTTTTTCTCTAAATCGTCTGTCTCACCCGTGCTTCTGGTTCCAAACTACGTTATCTACATATCAAAAAGTGAGTTGCTCTTTTCAAATTGTAAAAAAGATGCGTTAGTTAGCTTCCGGCGATCCAGCGCAATGGTATGTTGTTATGCTTTTAGAATAAAGGTGTTGTCTATCAGGTCACGCGATCTGTCTAATAATTACACGCCAGTGAACTCATACGAAAGGATCAGAAGCACTCATCCGTATGACTGAATCCAACAGATCATGAAATTTAAACCGCAAAATGCAAATGTTAGGCAACAAGTATCCAAGTGATTTAAGTCCACTACTCTTATACACTGCCAAGATCTCGTCTGTAACTCCCTTTACTATCTGCCATACAATTATTACAATGTGAATTTGGAGATTTTGGTATAAGATGAACTAATAATCCGTAATTTACATCTTTTTTGATTCTCATCACTTGTCTGCTTGATATTGTGCTGATCTTGTGAGGAGAAATTATGTGTTGATCCCTTGAGGGAGTTGAGGGGTTATGGTACGTTGTTAAATGCATCTCCAACTTTGGACCTTCACAGTTTGTAAGGTACAGAGCGGGTGAAAAATGTATACTTAGGAATCAGTCATTATATATGGGGAGGTATCACATGGTTTCATTTCATGCGTTTTTGCCCTATGAGCACGTAATTGATGCCTTTTTTGACCGTCCCCTCACCTTTGCTAGAGCTTAGCAAATTAAAACTCTGCAATGACAACTTATATGAGATTTACGTTTTAGACAATAAATCTGACTTCTCGCGCGGCCAAAATTTATTCCGACACGAACTAGCCTGGCTTCTATTTGTTTCACATTCAAAGCTGGACTGTTGACCCAAAAATCGACCAGAATATCGAAAGAGAAAGAGCAGGAAACCTAGAAATGGATAACGCGCTAAAATGGGCACGTTTCAACAAAGTAAGCGCTCAGACAAAATGTAATGCACTGTGGAATTAAGGTAAGGTATTTTCATCGAGAATTTAATGGTATTTTTACTTACCAAGAGCCGTCGTAAATATTCCCCTACAGACTTGTATATTTTCGCAAGGTGATCGATCATCTCACAACTGGAGCTTGGACTGCCTGTGGTCCGCTTGATGTTGTATTGATATTAAAAGGAGAAATTCTGTCTTTGTCACTGAAATGAGTTAAGGAGTTAAACGCGAAAAATAGAAGCAGCGTACCTTTCACTTACTTCTCGTCTCAGTGCTACATTACCAAAATTTATAGATTTCTTCATGGAAAGTGCCGACCGTACGATATTTGCGCACAGGTTTGTTTTCCGAAAACGAACGAAGGAGGTTTTGCGAGCGAGTGAGTCAAACGTAACTCCCTTATGGAGTTTGACAGAGTTTCTTCGAATGACAAAAAAGTTTTGAATGTAGTTGCTGGGTCGTAATAACGGGGAAAACTGGCTTCAGTGGAAGCACACCACGCCAAGCACGCGCCAAGGACTGTCAGCCTATCCCTCTCAACCATCTCCAGTTTCTATATACTTTAATACAATTCTATCTAGTTACATCAGACTCGTTTCATTCTGGGTAACTCTAGTCGACTGATTCTAACTCTGATTGATTGTTCTCTCTCTCTCTTTCTCTCTTCTACTGAATGAGCATTCTGGCCAACTGACCTTAGAAGATGAACATATATTTGTCGTCAAACTCTAAACGAAGTACTTTGATAATAATCTAAAAAGTAAATGGTCCACGTACGCGGTGTTTTATTTCAAAACAAAGCAATCTTTGACAATTACTTACGGCAAAACAGGAACTCAATAAGTCAGGGTCCGTGGTAAGGTCAGTAGAAAACCCAAGCAGGTCCACTCAGATCACTTATGGCACGGATCTTTTCAGATCTTTAACGTGGCTACAATATGTTTCAAGGGGTGGTCGTGCGTTAGTTTCTGCATTCTCAGAAAAGAAAATCTAAGCTCAGATTATTCAGATATATAATCAAACTTATTAGTTGTGGTGTCGTCCTCCTTTAATAGTAAGCTGGTCACAGGACTTGCCCCGCTGGATTGCTCTCAGTGGATCCGCCGCGGGGTATTTTCCTTGCTCTCTTGCTGGGATGAATTTGGTGCGACCCACCTATGTCGTGGATTACCAGTGGCAGCTCTGGGATAGAGCTGTGCGAAATGCTCGTTAGCATCATGGTACTTCCAGTCTGGATCTGATTCCTTCAAGCGTAAGAACATCTCTCTAACCTTCCTTTCGGCATGTTTCTCTGGAATGCCATCGGGGTAGAATCTATCTTTAGTCTCTCTATCTTCCTCCGGTTCATTCTGGTTTAGAGCAACGCTGACTCTTTGGTATTCGTGGATTCCTTCGCCTCTGCCGTCTCCATTGCTGTTCCTTTGGTCCCTTTGAATCTGGTCTCGACTGGGGTCTTCAATATCACGCAATCCGTGGAAGAACTCCATAAAAATCTTCAGAGCCCACATCGCCTCACGTTTTTTAAGATTGTATTCATCTATGAAATAATAGTCATAAACGTGATTTAAATGACCTCGTTATATACCTAGACTTTCACTCAACAGAACCAGCATTATGTTCAGTTGATTCTTGGTCACGTACCCCTGATCAAATTCAAACGTATCCCGACCGGGATACAATTGCGCAGTTGTTGCTCGCACGCTGAATACAACAGCATGTTTTTTGCCATATGATTGTCTTAGGGAAAGTATAAATATTTTAACAAAGCACTAAAGATATGGTCCCTCAAGAAACTAGTTAGTTTTGTTTTCCCTCTAGTCCTGATGTTTCCCGAAAGGAAGTTGAGGGAAACTACGGAGCCCCTGAAGGGGCATAGCTTTTCTTTTTCTCTCGTCAATATGCCGACTTATATATCGACATATATCTCGCCTTATTTCAATTATGTCGACATATATCTCGCCTTTTTCTTCCAATTATGTCGACATATATGTCGACATATTATCTTGACCAGTTCATCCTACGTGATTTCCGGAAAGCAGTGCGCATGGCTGTGTAGCAAGCAGAGGGAGACCTTACTATCATTAGGTTTAAATCTGATACTGGAAGAAACACTTTACAGTACAGAGGCCCTGTAATCTGGATTTTTTTAAATAGACTAGTTAAAGTGCCTGAAAATTTTAATTCCTATAAGCAGATATTAAAGAAACACACCAGGGACATTGCGGAGTATTCTTTTAGCAAGGAAGCGACGTTGATCACCGCAAAAAAAAGATGATATACTTTTAAGCATTGTATTTTCTGGTATTATATTATTATTTCAATTAGGCTCTAGTAAATCTCAGCTTTTTGCATGTCTATATATTGTTTTTCTCCCTGTACATAGCTTTTATTCTTTTGTCAATATCTTTTGTGTTTGTCAAATTTTGATTGTGTATAGTAGGTCCACATCAGCCCTTTGGCTGCCAAACAATCCCAACCTACCCATCAAATAAAGTTTACCTAGGTTGTGATATCCAATATGGATGACCGAGGTCGTGAGGAAAGAAACAAGGAGAAAAAATCTGACAGGTCTTTCTTTAGTGATAAGTCACATCGAGCGAGAGCTCAGATACAGCGGGCGAAATGTGGGATATCGGTCCATGTGGCAACGGCTTGTGGTCGAGCATGGGTTGGTAGTTGGCAAAGAAACAGTCAGACACGCGATGAGGATATTGGATCCTGAGGGGGTTGATCAAAGGTTGCGTCATGGACTCAAACGACGGCAATATAAAGGAGGGGGGCACATCGATTGCTACGATAAATTAAAGCCCTTTGGGTTTTGTATACACGGAGCAATAGATGGCTACAGCAGACGGATGCTGGGGCTGGAAGTGGGAATGTCAAAGAATGACCCTGGCATTGTACAAAAATACTTCATGGACTGTGTCAAGCAAGTTGGAGGTGCCCCTCGTACTGTTCGCGCGGACAATGGGACAGAAAAAACCTATGTGGCTGGATTTCAACGTTTTTTAAGGAACAATTCATGCGACTCATTTGCAAAAGAGAAAAGTTTTAAGTACGGCCGTTCTGCGTCTAATCAAGGAATAGAATCTTGGTGGTCGCAATTACGTAAAGTGTGCACGGGATGGTGGATGACACATTTCAAAGAGCTGAGAGACAATGGATTTTATTGTGACGCCAATCCAATCCATGTCAATTGTCTTAGATTTTGTTATATGGGAGTCATAAGGGAGGAGCTCCAACGTGTTGCAAGGCTTTGGAATAACCACTCTATAAGACCATTCAGTAACAGCGAATCACCCTCAGGGCGTCCTAATTTACTATTTTCACTTCCTGAAATCACAGACACACACAAAGTTATTGTTACTGTTCCTGAAGATGACATCACTGTTTGTGAAGAGTTCTTGGGTGGAAGGAACATTTCTACATTAGATTGCAGCGGAGAATTCTTGCACGTAGCAAACATTATTATGCAGGAGGAGAACCTTGTAATGGCAGAAACTCCTTTTGAAGCAAGATATCTTTATTTTGCTTTGTTAAATCACATTGACAGGTTGTAATAAAAAAATCTGTCAATGTGATTTAACAAAGAAAAATAAAGATATCTTGCCTCAAATAATTATTAATTGTTATTATTTCAGTCAAACCACGCCAACCATACCCCCCCCATTCCAAATTGCATTCATCATTTTATTATTCGTGGCTGAATAGAAGAAATGACTTCAAAGAGGCTGGTGCCATCTTGGAAAGGTAGCCGAGCCTTGCATAGAAATAAGGCTTGGGTTGAGCATGCAACGATAGATACCTGTAAGTAATTGTACAAGGTGTGTGGTATCACTGTAAGCTCAACCACAAATGCAAAGGTTTGGCTACCTTTCAAGGTGGCAGTGGGAACTGTAAAATGGACTATTGGCATCTGAACGCGAGAATTAAAGTACTTTGACGTAAGTTTCATAAAACAGAAAAAATTCAGAGACATCCTGCCAAAAAAGACCATTGTGTGTTCTATTGAGGGACCCATGTTTAAAAAAACCAGTAATTTTCATTCCGTGGGGGGTGACTCCAGGGGTAAACTACTGGGTATGCTCGTCGGAATTTTTAAAAAATTCTCCTAAAAGATACCGGAAGTTTTTGTAAAGGGCGTGGCTCCAAATATTTTCAACCCTAAAAGATACCTAAAATTAATAGCATTAAATACTCCAAAATATATGTTGTGTATTTATTTATAAATGATTGGATGTCTGAAACATCAAAAGGTATCTGCTCAATTTACATCCCTTAACTGCTAAAAGATACGACTGGCATTCCCAGTAGTTACTCCCCCCTGGGTTTACATTATTAAACACAACTTTAGGACTACACTTTGCCATGGGATGCATTTTGCTAAGTAAAAATGAGTTCACATTTGGCAGATCTAAATATTTGACTTTGAAAATTGTATGAAGGATGAAGCAAGGTAAATTTTCCAGTTAGTGGTCGGAAACATTTTTTTAAATAAAAAACTGGCTATTGAGGTTATCACTTCAAATCTAGCAGCCTTTTGTGAATGTACACGTCTGAGTTCCATGTGTTGTGTAGTGAAATTATGAAGACAGGAATCCAAAAAGAGAATGACGAAAACACATTTTTAAATTCGGTGCCTTGCAAACTCATCTGCTTTTAGTAAGCAGGTGAGATTTCAAATTTAAATTTTGCTATAAGTCTGCACTTTACACCCTATTCCTTCATGTAAACCAAACCTGGTAATTTTTGTATTACAACTTTATTAACTGAAACATGTAATAATAGACTGAGAACAATCAACAAGCATCATCTACATAACTAAGGGCGTCTTTATATGGAGGATGACTTCTTCTTTTGTTACTTGTTTCTTAGAGCGTAAAAACGAAACAAAGCAAACAAACAAAAAATCAGCCCCCTTACCGGGCCGGCTCGCCTTTAAATGTGAAGGTCCCAACTGTTATATGTTAAAAATTTGTTAATCAAAATGAACTTGAAATCATCATCATTTCATTTCTAATACCAATATTAACTGTAATGTGTAAAAACTTCCTTAAATCTGCATCATCATCATTTGATTTGCAATATGACTATTAAATGTAATGTGTAAAAACTTTCTTGAATCTGCATCATCATCATTTGATTTGCAATATGACTATTAAATGTAATGTGTAAAAACTTTCTTGAATCTGCATCATCATCATTTGATTTGCAATATGACTATTAAATGAATGTGTAAAAGCTTTCTTAAATCTGCATCATCATCATTTGATTAGCAATATAACTATTAAATGTAATGTGTAAAAACTTCCTTAAATCTGCATCATCATCATTTGATCTGAAATATAACTATTATAAATGCAATGTATAAAAACTTTCTTAGTAAATCAGCATCACCATCATTTGATTTGCAATATAACTATTAACTGTAATGCGTAAAAAATTTCTAAATCAAAATCAAATTGAAATCAGCAGCAACTTAATTTGATTTGCAATATCACTTTTAAGAGTTCCTGTTAGATATTCGTAAGCCTTAAATGGATCAAAAACAACAGAAATTTAAAATAAATTGTAAAGCAATAATGTGTAAAATAAACTGGTTGAATATCACTATCTTTTCAAAAAGATGACTACCTAGATGGATTTCTTTGAGTTTAAAGTCATTTTTAGTAGGCCTTGTCACGGTTTTCGGTGCCATCTTTATGGGTAGGCAAGGCGGTCAGAAATTACAGTGTTTGTATGGGAGTCCCATGGCAAATAACTTTTCCCGGATCATGTATCTTATGGGGGGCATCGACCGATGTATCGGTCGATACATCGGTCGATGCTCGGCCGAGTATCTGTCGAAACTCGATTGAGTACAGGTCGATATATCGGTCGATACATCGGTCGATGCTCGGCCGAGTATCTGTCGAAACTCGATTGAGTACAGGTCGATATATCGGTCGATACATCGGTCGATGCTCGGCCGAGTATCAGTCGATACTCGATCGAGTACAGGTCGACATATCGGTCGAGTATCGAGCGATGTATCGACCGATAGTTCACTTAATGATACTCATGGTGTTGGTCGACATATCGACCGCGATACTGTCAGTGGTATATCGGTCAACTATCGGTTATACATCGGTCGACTGTCGGTCAAGTATCAGTCGATACTCGATCGAGTACAGGTCGACATATCGGTCGAGTATCGAGCGATGTATCGACCGATAGTTCACTTAATGATACTCATGGTGTTGGTCGACATATCGACCGCGATACTGTCAGTGGTATATCGGTCAACTATCGGTTATATATCGGTCGACTGTCGGTCAAGTATCAGTCGATACTCGATCGATTATCGGTCGATACTCGATCAATATCTTGTTAGCTCAAACGTCCAGTAAGGAACGTTAGTTAACAAATATCTGCATGCTCATTGGTACCGTTTTGTCGCCATCCAATGCATCATTCTCGGACTAGTGCCAGTCCTATTTGCTCTTTTAAGTTCTCCATATACTCGGTGGAGTAACGGCTGAGTATCGACCAACATAACAGACCACTCAATAGGGATTGTCTTTTTAACCCTTTAGAATTAATTCATGTACATTTCACCAGTTTAATTGAAGTAGGTGAAATATTGAGTTAGGTCAAAAATGTTCTGAAGTAACTCGTATTTTTTCCGGTACTTTAATGTTTGCTTTTCAGAGAAAATAAAACGTTTTCAACAACAACAATAACAGCAAGCGTTAGGCAAAAGCTAAAGAGTTCCTTGATGATCAAAATAAGGCTACATAGGTTATAATAAGAAGAATTTACATTTAGGATAAACAGATTTCCAATTTCTCACAGTTACTGAGAGCAAATCCCCTTGTCGATTTCCGATCAGGGGTTTCAATAACTTTAGTTATAAGCAGCCTCTGAAGGTGTAGCGGCTGAGACCACTAAATGGACCGCAAGACCCCTTTCCTCTGGGGAGGGGGGTCGGGGGCATGCCCCTCCAGAAAAATTTGAAATCTAGAGGTTCGGAAATGCGATTTCCAGCGTTCTGGGTATCACAAAGCGTGCTGTTTCTGTAACACTTAAAAATTTCAGTGGTCGTCTTTGTTGTTGAATTGGTTTTTTTTTTTTTTTTTTTAGGGTCATTTTTATTTTCATTAATGAATTCAAATCCAAACAGATGGCGGTAAGAGGTCCTACAGGCGGCGGTAGACCGCCGGTAACCGGCTTCTCTTTGAAACCCCTGTTTCCGATATATTTCACTAAATTCTATCGACCTAATTGTTTCTATCGATTTCGTCAACTGGCTACCTCAGATTTACGATACACCTGGCCACTGAATAGGGTAACATGTGACGTCCTGTGTTGAGTTGTCAGCGCTGCTTGAATTACAATTCTTAAACTCATTAATAATTCACGAAGTTTAAACAAAGGAAATTATAACCGTGAAGGAGGTTTGGATACCCGGTCTTAATTGGCATAGATTCTGACTATTTTACTTCTCCGTCTACCCCTTAGTTTTTGTTTCGACTGAGAGGATATATCAAACACTCGAGACAGTCTTTTATCGGCTATCCAAACACCTCGAATCTCGTCAAAAATACTCCTCTGCGCATCACATTTTCAACTCTCTTCTCGGTACAAAACAAATGAAAGTAGTGAGTGTTCGCATCTTGTTTTTCCGCAACGCATTTTTCTGGTAGTTTTTCCAGATCTGTTTACTTGCAGTCTGAATTCACGTGTTCCTTAATCTACGTCATACCACCCTTTGTTGCGGAAAAGAACTGAGAGGAGACTTAAGGCGGGCCAACATGGAGACAATTTGGAAGAACAAAATTATTTTTAAAATCGCGTTTTGGTCATATCGGAATAGTTATTTCTCGCAGACGTTCTTCATTGTATCTTAATTGAGCACTCCCCATTGGGCTTTTCAGGGCCAATGGAAACAAAAAATGGAGCATATAACGTAAATGAGTATAACAAAATCGAATTCATGAATCGCAACGTTAAAACACTGAGCAGAAGATTGTATTCACCATGTTTGAAGAATGTAGGTTGGAGAGAAGACGCTCAATGAATTTTTCTAATTTTCCATACATTTGTCTGTAAATTTTTTCCGCGCCGCCCCTTTTACCCTGCGAAAATTTACAGACAAATGTGTGGAAAATTAGAAAAATTCATTGAGAGTCTTCTATCCAACCTACTTTCTTCAAACTTGATGAATACAATCTTCTGCTCAATGTTTTAACGTTGCGATGCATAAATTGCGTAAAATTCGATTTTGGGAAAAGTTATTTGCCATGGGATTCTCTTACAAACACTGTAATTTCTGATCGCTTTGCCTACCCGTAAAGATGGTGCCGAAAACCGTGACAAGGTCTGTTTTGAGCAATTTTGATCCAAGTGCTACTTTAAAAGCAATAAGTATGCAGTCAGCTACGGTGTAAGATAAACGAACTTTAGCGTGTTCTAAGTTAGCTTCGGTAACTCATCATATATGAATAATCGACTAAACTTACCCTGGGATCCAGAGGTTAAATCTTAATCATAACGGCGCTTCGTGCCTTCCCTTCGTGCC